GACCGAGGCGTTACTGGTGGCCCACCCTGTATACTGATATTTGATCGGAACAGATACAGGGTGGTTCAAGATTCAGAATTCTGATATTTGATTTTTTCGGTTTATGTACGACTGATCGTCTTTTCAGTACGGCTTTTAATTTCAGGTGATTCCCAATATTCACATTATGTTTAGCGATTAAAGATGTTCTTATCATAGAATAAATTGACCAGAGAGTATTTGGCTTATACTTATTCCCCAATTCTTCGATGTAGGCCAATGAAACTACCTTGGAGAAGCTTTTCGCATTGTGATTTTTCTTTCCATGCAATGAAATTATTATACGCCAAATCATTCTTGTGTTCGATTTTTCTGGAAGCCATCCATTTGTCATTTCAACTGCTAATTCCTGGATTTGTGGGGGAGTAGAATGTAACATTTCATCGTCGGATGAAAGTTCCATGTTTTTTTCCAGAATCAACAAAACTTTGCATAACTTATAAGTAGATATTCACCTTATAAATAATATGTAATTGAATTAAATTTGAACTAGAGTTTGAACTAGGTAATATAATGTGTAGAAACCAGGGTTGGAATAAGTCAGGACTTTTATAAAAAATTCATCAAAGTTCAACTTTTTGAATTAAGTCAGACTTTTTTGAATTAATTCATTTGAAAAAAAAAACAAACAAATTTCATTTACCCAAAGCGAAATAGAAAAAAAAGAAACAAAAAACTATGTTTTTATTCCCTTCAGAAATCTTGTAGAATAACATCATAATATAACATGTCATTTTTTCAAAACAAAATTAAAAGCGATGATAGAATACAAAATAATAGATACATATTATAGATCCAGTATCATCCATAAAGTTCGTAACACATGAAGAAAAAGTTTATTAGTAGAATATCGAAACATTTTTTCTCGGGGATCTATTATGCATGTCTGACTACTTAAAAGTCGATTATGACACATGTCACTTGATCACTGGTAGGGCGATAAATTAAAAAAATTACGATGGCAAAAAGTGGGGTTAGATGGGAAGATGAAGTTATTTAAAAAAAATAAGAATACTATTTTCAGTTTTCTCAAATAATGGCTGGAAACTCCATAATTGTGGGCATGAAATTGAAACCAATTCAACTTTGTACATCATCAACATCACTACTGTCAGAGAAAAAAAGGGAATTGTAACAAAATTGAATATTCGAAAAAATATAGCTATTTCCAATTCTACTCCAAAAATTTCTCGAAACTGAATGTGAAATAGCAACTTAATAAGAAATGTTCTTATATGTTATGATTGATACTTGATACTGTATATATCTGTTAGTAAAAATCTCTGTCATGCTTGAAATAACAAAGTCTTGCCAAAATACGATCGAATTTTTCAGTTTAAACTAGTTAAAATCAAATGTAATATAGTGCAATTTGTCTCATTTTTAAAAATTTTAATGAATTCATGACTTTTGCGAAAAAAGTCAATGGAATTAAGTCACGAATTAAATCACTGATTTAATTCATTTGAATTAATTCATGCCAACCCTGGTAGAAACTGACACTGTAATCAACTGATTTGTAGATTTGTCATTGTCATAGCTGCCTATATAAATTCAGTACAAATTAGAGTAGGTGTATTCACCATTCAATATAGGATTTGTGACTTGGCAAAAATTTTCATTACGCACTAATGCGAAATACGTATCATGTCCACGGAAAAAAAGAAATTGTTGAATCAAGTAAATTTTAATTGAATGAAGCAAATAAAAGTGTCGTATATGCACGACAAAATATAATCTAGAAATGAGTAAATCTATATCTTGTTTCAGAGCGAATTTGAAGTTTGAATTGAGTAAAATGTCTTGAATGAACTCTGGATCTTATTCAATCAAGCACATCCATATTGAATTGGCTGAATAATTCATTTTGTTTGATTCACAATAACAAGATATTGATTCAATCAAATATTTAGTTGATTCAATGAAATATTTGGTTGATTCAAAGAAATATTTGGTTGATTCAATGAATTATTTGGTTGTTTCAATGAAATATTTGATTAAATATTTTGCTGATTCAATGAAATATTTCGTTGATTCAAGAGAAATTGTATTTTCATTCAACAAATTGATTTGTTGAATCAAATTCAGTATTAATTCGGGAGTTTTCTGAAATTTCACATCAAAAGAATAAACTAAACTAGTCAACGTCTAGCATAGATCTCCAGTCGTTACTTCCCTTCAGCTGATGCAAAACTATTTCGGATTCCTAATCATCGTAAGTTCGATTCATCCAGATGATATTTCAAAGACGAAGAATCCGGCCACGCGTATATAATGAATTCGAGGCATGCATAGACGAGGCGAAATGATCGCCATCTAGAGGCGAAAATGTAACTTGATGTAGAAGGAACAAAATATTTCATTGATATTACATATTTCATTGCTCTATTCAAGCAAATGATCCGTTCGAAACGAGTTCATTGCAACATCGGAATAAGAAAACTTGTATGTTGTTTCAAAGATATATTCTCATCAAAATGATCATTATTTCATCAAATCAACAAAATGTTGTTGATGGAATTGATATACTGTTGATTTAATTAGACTAAATTCTTGATTTGAACAAGCTGCTTCCATGAAATAATATTGTATCTGGTTGATTCAACAAAAAATTGTTCAGTCCAACAAAATTAATTCAAGCATAAATAATGGGCATTTCCAGTAATTTCCAGAAAAATCATATTTGGTTATAAATGACTCTCAAGAACCTTGTACAAATTTTTTGGGATTTTTATTTTGGCCGGATCTTAGATAAAAAAATTATTGAAAACGACAAAATGATCTAATGAATTCAAACGAGTATCAAAGGGAGGGAACCGTTTGACGTCAGCGCGCGAACGATTTCGATTGGTTACATGTTCATGTTGTATGATGTTGTCTCGCTGGCTGAAAAATCGATAAAAAGTTTTTCGATGTTGCCATATTACATCAAATGTACGAACTCTTAGGGCAAAACGAGGAAGAAATAAATTAACATCTAGATGGTGCAGGATATTTCAGTATACCTATCTCACATAGAGAAAACTAGGTAGGTATTTACCTATCTAATGAGCTCGTAAGAGGTATTTTGGGTCAGGTATATAAACTGTACTTTCAATTGATTAGGGATGATTAGGAGATTGATCATCAAAAGATAATATAATATGTATTTATAGCAACAATTTAAGAACAATAATATAAGTCATACCTATTTAATTGATTCTCATTTATGCTAATCTATGATATATGGTGCAGAAATAGCCAGAACATCATCAGTTACTATTCAATTTGATAAGTGTACAGTGAATATTAGAAATCGTTGGAAAAGGTTCGGCAACAGTGTTGGTGTGACTTTCGTGTTTGTGCTTCGACTGACGAGTGACGTCTGACCAAGTCTTTGAAATTATCGTCCGAATCGGAAATACTATAAAAATTTCCAAAATGAGTAAAGTAGACGAGTGATTCGAAAAGGCAACAGCAGATAATCTGCCAACTTCTTTGGATGCCTAAATTTCTTGGAACGTGAACACATATTTTATTCAGATTTGTATTCTGACATATGGGGACCAAACACTTTTTGGCACTCATGTTTCTCACAAAAGTAATAAAATAACTCAAAACCAACAATCAAACAAACAATCAAACATAAACAAATTCAAAACTGAGGATGTTGCGTAAGCGGTTATAGGTTATGTTGTGGTTATGTTAAAGATTAAACATAGTTGCCACATAAGTTATTATATTTTCCAAGGAGGAGGAACGTTAATGGTCAAAACACGTTCAAATTTGGTATATCGAGATATTTTGATTATTATATTATTAGTAATGACATGAAATATATCGAATTAACCGATAACTGAATCAGTTATTTATAGCAACTAAATAATACAAAACAATGATCCCAATGGATATTTGTGTACCTGAAATTATCATGAAAATACGCTATAATGCCCTCGGTAATATCTAATATTTTCAAGTTCTTGGTAAGTGAACAATAGTCAGCAATGTATTGATCAAGATTCAGTTATTAGAATTCCTATTTATATTATATCTAGATATTTCATAAAGACCTGGCAACTGTGTTGTTTCTCTCAGCTAATCCTGCCTCTCCGTCGCCATTACCATATTCATCCAATCGAATCACTACGCGCCCTGACGTCACAAACTGCCGCCATATTTCAAACGTTTGAATATTCGTGTTTGAATCATGCGATTTCGACACTGATTTTTAAGGCAATGGTTTGGCATAAAAATATGAAAAAAATTCTGGACTATGATTTGGATGGTCCTTCATAACATTATGACAAAAAAACTGCAAATTTTTTGAAACTGGAAATGCCCATTGGTTAATGCAACCAATCCTTTTTTCCGTGTTTATAGTGCGAAATAATACGTATTCCATGTAGGTCGTCGGAAATAGTATATTATTTAACGAGCACGGAATGATAATGATTTCCTACGAGAATGGAGTTTGCAGCATGAGCCATAGGCGATAGCTGCAATCATTCGAGTTGGAAATTAGCATTCCGTGCAAGTTATACACTGTATTTTTTCCACGGCTGTAACAGATAACAGCGGAATTTTCGATTTCTTCGGCTTGTAGCCATCTGATTTCCCGTCAAGTATTGCTCATCTATTAGACAGAGCTGTCATTGCTTGCGATTTGACACTCCATTGAAATAATTACACAATGGAGTCATTGTGATATCAGATACGGAAATAAGATTGATGACATACAAAGTACCTCATTGATGTATCGAACATCGATCACAGTAAAACATCAAGAGCAATTTTGTGTTATAGCCTTAGAAAAATATTATTGTCTCATTCCAGGTATATATTGATTGCACTAATCGACGTTCAATCGACTAAGTATTGTTTTGTTAACACTCAGTAGGTATCATTGACTCTCCCTGTATTTTGCACGAGATGAACACTGCAATAACATCAACGAAGTGACGAAATCATTGAAATCTATAGCACTACAGATCATTCTCACTTCCTGCAACCAACAAAAAGCCCATTCAGATTTAATTGCGATGGCATTTCGTAACATCCACACAATTATACAGAGTGGACCGTAACTAATGGGACATGAAAACAGACTGTTGGAATAATATAAATGTTGTTAGAGAACGACGATGATAATCTTCATACTACCTTCTAGATTTCCCATTTCTTCTCAGGAGACTAAGAACTTACGACAAAGGCCGGTCAACGCTGTCAATGATGATCTTGCTGCAATGGGCGTGTACACCTTAGTAGAACTTTTAACTCAAACCATGTTTATAATGATCCTGTTATACATAAATAATGATTGACGACCTAATTCGATCCAAAAATCAACTGGAATGTTTTATTTTTGGACATCAATAATAGTGCCTTCTGAAAACGGACCCTCTTATGACGTAGAAACCTCATCTCGCGATAGTTAAAAGAAAATACCAAACGCCCGACGGAGACTGAGGCAAATGATATATTAATTCTTTCAACTGTGATCTCGCGCTAATTCACTCTGTCAGAAATCATGTATCATTCATCTCTGTCTGGAATAGTCTTGTTTCAGTATTGGGGTTTTGACGTCACATCGTTTATAAAACGTAGGGAGCTCACAGCAAGAAACGGTTTGTGGTGGTGAGCTAGTTTGGGTGAGTTCTATCAAATTATGAAATAAAAATTTTTTGTGATATAAGCCCATTACAGCCTGGGGAACCAACAACCTAATTGAATTTAACGCCACCAAAACTCAAGCCTGTATTTTCTCTAAGAAGGCGGAACATTAATGAAATTACAAAAAAAAAATGAGTTCAATTACAATTTACATTACCAGGAACCGCAACTACTAATCTTCACAAACCAAAAAAATCTGTTGAATTTATCATCGGATTATTATTCCGAGCGACACTCTACTTTACACCTCAACAGCTTCTCATGAACTGCAAAGTACAGTTACGGCCAGTTTTAGAATAATGTTTTCACATGTGGGGTTCAGCACCCAATCGTACGCTGATGCTCTTAGATTGAATCTAGAGAAGTGCCATCCGCCTGGCGGGTGATGCCACACTCACTAATACTTTGACTTCATCAGAACACGGTAGAAAAGCCGGTGACCTTTCGATTTTCTATAGATACTCCCACGTGAAATGTTCCTCAGAAATCTCATCCATTACTATAGTACAGTCAGCACATTCTTTCGTTTTCAACATTAAAATATGTCGAACAACACAGTACCAAAACTCGATCGTCTATAGGAAGGCAGAATTTTGGAATTCTTTGCTAATGGAAGTATTCTGAAGAACTCAAAACCGCCAAAACTTCAAAAAAAAATTCAACACCTACCTCATCTCCCTAGATACCAACGATGTTCTTCGAACATCAAGAGTAAAAAAAAACGGTCGAAATTTATGCTAAATTTGCTTCCAAAAAATGAACTTCTATGGATTCAGAAAAACCTTCTAATTGAAATAGTAGGTATATCAAATATACAGTAAGTTTCAGAGTTGAAGTGACAAAAGACTAAATAAACATTATTGCATCAAATTATGCATTATCTAATAAAAATATTCATATTTCAGTAATGAGTTCGAAAAATGTCAACCTTTTCGAGAAAACAGATGGTGTGATATGTTTTCCATGTCAGAAAAAAACAGAAAAATTCTTCTTCCAAACTTGAAGCTTAAAATGTTTGAAAAATTGCACAGTTCTGATTATCATCCTGTATAATCAGGTTTCCGGTGTTGAGCAGTTTAGTTTGGAAATGGGTTTTTGCTTCAAAAGTGTGCAACACGGTGTTCAATTTGTTTGTCCCACCCTGTACATGGAATTTAATGAAACTCCGTGGGTATTTCATTCATAAACAAATTGAAAATGCAATAAGTTTTCGAAATATTTAGAATAATGCCTAATATAGAGTCCTGATTTTTATGACGTAATTTAGATCACAGAATGCCATGAAATGATGATTCGAACTCAATTTAGGAATTTGAAATGCTCATTCTACTGCAGAGTAATTCCATTCAATCAAAAAATAAAAAATAAATAAACATATTTTTTATGAATTTTATGAATAAATGGAAATTGTGAAATTCGATAATAAACCGGATGATCAATGGTTTCCATGAATCAGCTTTGGCTGTTATTTCTTCTTATCAATTTCCTCTCACTTGTGCAACCTCGAAATAAATTGAATAGTAAATATTCCACCACGACACTCAAATTCTGATAATAATCATTTTTGTTATTCTTTCTACGACTACTATTATTATGAGTGATGAATATTGTATATACACAAAACAATGTCAGTAAGCTTCTTTTTACTCTCAAGACAAGATCAAGACAAGAAGTAATTTTAGATTTCAAGACAAGACAAGAAATTTTATGTCAATACCAAGATTTCCTATCAAGAAAACAAGAAATCTTGAAATTTCCAGACTAAGAATAAAAGAGCTAAAACAGGCGTTTATCACTCATGATGAAATAGGAGATGATATCAATATAATCTTTGAGTATACAGTGTGTCCAACTTACCATGCTCACCATGGGTATCTTTTTAACGGTGAAAAAATATTTTGATAAAATCTATTCGTTTTTGTTTTATACGCAAAAAACAGATTTTGATCATTTTCATGTCTCCTTCGTAACCTTCCTTTATTTATGAAAATATTCAAATAGGAATTTCACATTCTCATGGCAGTTTTTCGAAGTGATTTCGAGAAAAATATGAAATTTATACCAACTCTTCTAGAATTTGAGATATCATCAGCACCAACTTCAGTTTTTCAAATGTAGGTCATAGCTCACTATGAATTAGTTACAAATAACTTTTTTCTCTCTTACAGATGATATGGCGCAGTAATAGTTTTGTGTTGATAACAACGGAGTTATCGTCATTCATACAAAAACAAAAAATTATTTGGAAGCCGCCATCTTGAATTCATAAATTTTAACAAAAAAATCATGATCTCCGACCTCAAAAACCCCCATTTTCCAATTTTGGAATCGGACCAAATCTTGTCCGTCATCTTGGAGCAGCCATTTTTTTTTAAATTCAACAAAAATTCCATAACTCCGATTAACTTGAAATTTGGCAGGTGTTCGAAATTCCGGTGACAATACATTATGGAATTTTTGTTGAAATAAAAAAAATGGCTGCTCCAAGATGGCGGACAAGATTTGGTCCGATTCCATTCAAAACTAGTAAGTGGGTGTTTTTGAGGTCGGAGATCATGATTTTTTTGTTGAAATTTATAAATTCAAGATGGCGACTTCCAAAAAATTTTCTGTTTTTGTATAAATGGCGATAACTCCGTTGTTATCAACACAAAACTATTACTGCGACATATCATCTGGAAAAAAAAAAGTTATTTGTAACTAAGTCATAGTGAGCTATGACCTACATTTGAAAAACTATAGTTGGTGCTGATATCTCAAATTCTAGAAGAGTTGGTATAAATTTCATATTTTTTTCGAAATCACTTTGAAAAACTGCCATGAGAATGTGAAATTCCTATTTGCATATTTTCATAAATAAAGAAGTTACGGAGGAGACATGAAAATGATCAAAATCTGTTTTTTGCGTATAAAACAAAAACGAATAGATTTTATCAAAATATTTTTTCACATTATAGTTAGCCTTGACAAACTCCACATTTGGTGTCATTTAACCGACCTCGTATCTCTCACCGTTAAAAAGATACCCATGGTGAGCATGGTAAGTGGGACACACTGTATAAAGGAGAATGCAAATTTTCTACTTCAGAAAATTATGTTTCCAAATTCTGATCGTGTGTGTTCAATAGATGTAATTCAATATTTGTCGTGGCATATAGACAGGAAAGGAGTTGTTTTCTGTTGAGTAAACCGAGAGAGAATTAATATTTTCATCACGTGGAGAATGCGAATTCTCAATGTATTTCTTTATGGTATACATATCCATTTTTTTGTGTTCATAAATATATATGAAAATATCCCTTTCAATACTTTCACCAAATCAAGGGGTTCAAACTTGAACGATGGAAACTTGTCATTTTTATAGACCTCAACCGCAGATTCGCGATAAGGTTTTCTTCCATGGGTTTTCTCAATTCAGAATATCTTTCCACGTCCTGTATGATGAATATCAATTTATCATACATACAAAAAAAAGGAATATGTCAAAAAAAGAAGGAAGGCTACTTATCTTTTCATAAAAAAATCAAGTTATCAATCGAAACCAAAAGCAAGCGCGTAATAATTTATGAAAATGATTATTTTCTGTTTATATTACATTACCAGAAATCCTGGAAATAGCAAAAATGGCAACAAGTGAGTTGCCACACCCGTGAAAGCTCGTGAAATATACGAAATCGCTTACAAAAAATCACTCAGGAATAATATCATGTCCTTTTTAGCGAATATTCTGGTACTTTCAACAACGGTACAGGGACTATAAATAATCATCATAATAATTTCATATGTTTATCGCATGTGTTTTTTGCTCGGTTTTTTGTTATTAATAAAGTTGTTAATAGATGAAAAACGGCTTCATACTAATTCAAATTTTTCGGCATCCTCATAAACATTGCTGTTTCTTCCCTCATCAATTCTTTTCTACCTGACTCTCCATAATATCCTGCTCCTCCTCGCTATAATCCTCCCTAATCCGCTCCTTCCACAACATCACGTCCTCCGGCACCTCGTACTCAATCTGCGTGAAACGCCGCTCCGGCAAACGTAACGCCACCACTCCACCCTCGTATTCCACGCTAACTTCACGCTCCACCGCGAATTTCACGTCCAAACTACAACTTCGCGCCAGCAATTTCGCGTCGCGTTCCCCGCCGCCGTACGATTTCACGCAATTCTCTTCGCGATCCCACGATTTCACGCAATTCCACGATTTCACGTCGCGCCCTCGGCTGCCGCACGATTTCACGCAGTCTTCTTCGCAATCGCAGGATTTCGCGTCGGATTTCACGCAATTCTCTTCGGCGTCGAAGGGTGTTTCCATGTCATTCAGGCCGAGGGTGCGGTCATCGTACGGCTCGTAATATTCGAAGGCGTACCTCAGGGTTTTCAGCCAACGTGACACGCTGACATCCTCGCACATTTTGCCAATTTAAATCTATGACCAGGCTAAGCAGTCACTCGGGGGTGATAAAAAAATCGCGGCCACATCCTTTCGCGATAAAGACGACCAGATTTCCTGATTTTCGTACTGGCGAATGATAAACGAAGAAGATAAGAACGGACTCGAGCTGGCGATAATGTGTCGACGATCAATGTTACTTGTTCGAACTAAAACTAACTGATACAAGTATCATAAGTATGTATTTTCTGTAACTGTGGCTTCATTGATAAGGCGCCAGAGATGAGACGAGTTACGAGTATGACTATTTAAAAGGGGTTAGTCATTTCAGTTTGTGGAATGAGTGAATGGGTCGATTCAAATGGGCGTAGCATGTAGCAGCTCGAATTGTCGGTTTTCCAATGTAATTGGTTGATTAACTCGAGAGAGAAAATTAATTTGAACCCACACGTGTTCCACTATCGTCGTTGCAAAATGCACACAGCGAATAGATAGATAGATAGATCATATTATGTGATAATACCGTGAGCGCCGAAATACAGGGTCTACAGGGTGATTTACGTTCGCCACAAATTAGAAGTGTTCCAACATGCAGTCGGATTAAAAACTTTAAAATTGGTATACAGGGTAGGCCAATAATCGGCACCAACTTTCTCATTATAAATATAGACCTAAACTTTATTTCAAGCAGTTCGATTAGCCTTCTGATTCCGGACAACCTAATTGATATGAATTTATTTACGAGGGGCAAACAACTCATTGAATATGGTGTATATAAACCCCAAGTTTTTAAGTACTTGATTACTTTTCTCAATCCTTTTATTATTTCAATTGTTTGTAAATTACCATTACGGTTTAAAAAACTAGAGAAACGCACTTTTATATATATAACCAAATAAAAAAGAAGTAGAAAATAAAATAATGAAAGTGTGCTGAGAAATACACAACAAAAATATTAGCATTTCGGTATAGTCAGTACATTCTATGTTGTGTATTTATCAACACACTTATCAATATCATTTTATTTTCTACTTCTTCTCAGTTTTGCTAATTATAAAAGGATATTTATTCAGTTTTTTCTGTGACGGGAAGAAAGTTTGGCATTTCATCTCTGTTGGCAGATTATAAAATGTCACTTTTCATAAATTACTTTTTTCCCGTGCGCAAAAGGTGAGTACTTTTTTCCCGGATATATATCACATATATACAGGGTGATCCACGGTGGATGGCCTATTAGAAGTATCTGGAGAACGAAAAGACAGAACATCCTGAAAATTGGGTTTCTTCGATAATTGAACATTCTCTATCCGTCTAAAATATTTTCATCGATACAGTGTTGCCACTTCTATCAGAAACAACTAGCAACTTTGTTATTTCAAATGGAACACCCTGTATTTTATTGCATTTTTAGATTCTTTATGAAGAGCTGATTTCATCAATGTATCACACTTGGGGTCTAGCAGGAATGATTACAAAGATATAGGGTGTTCAAAATCGAGATTTTTCAATTTTAGGATTTTTTTGTGTCGAAACTATTCATTATCGATCTAAACGGCTTACATGTCCCTATCTTAACTTTTGATTGACTATCTACTGGAATTTGATTGGAAAAAATTTAGGGTGCTTCAAGATTCAGAATTCTGATCACCCTGTATCTGTTCCAATTAAATGTCAGTAGATAGTGAATCGAAAGTTGAGATAGGGACAAGTAAGCCATTTTGATCAATAATGAATACTTTCGACACAAAAAAATCCTGAAATTGAAAAATCTCGATTTTGAACACCCTATATCTCTGTAATCATTCCTGCTAGACCCAAAGTGTGACTCATTGATGAAATCAGCTTTTCATGGAGAATCTAAAAATTCAATAAAATACAGGGTGCTCTATTTAAAATAACGAAGTTGCTAGTTGTTTCTGATAGAAGTGGCAACACTGTATCGATGAAAATATTTTAGACGTATAGAGAGTGTTCAAATATTGATTCGTCCTTTATTCTGTCACAGAAAAAAATAGTGTATTATAACGGGACAAATATTAGATTTTAGCTAGTAGACAACACAACCTGGAGCTAAAATCTACTACTTTTTCCCTTGTATAGTAAATAACTATTTTCAAACTACTATTGATTTTATATTTTTTAGTACGGCTTACTCCAGAAGCGTGTTTTTTAGTGTTCTCCGACCTCGTTTACCCCCAGATAACAACTTTGAATAGAATCGGATCATATAATTACAAAAACCGTCTGCAATATTGGATCCGCCATCTTGAATTTCAAAATTTTTACGAGAGAATCATAATCTTCGATCCCGAAAACCTCCAGATACGAATTTTGAATAGTTTCGGGTCATAATAACAAAATTCGTCCGCCATATTATATCCGCCATCTTGAATGCACCAATTTCGCTGAGAGCATCATTATCTCCGACCTCAAGAACCTGATTACAAGATTTTTCCGCCATGGATCCGCCATTTTGAATGTTTAAACTTTGACGAAAAAATCATAATCTCTTATCCCAATTTTGAATAGAATTGGATCATAATTACAAAACTCGTCCGCCATTTTAGAGCAGCCATTTTGTTTTTTTATCTTACAAAAATTTAGTGATGCATTGCCACGCGAACTATGTACACCTTTCAAATCAATCGGTCCGTTTAAAGTGGGTCAAAATTAAATCCATAGAAGTCGGTTACAAACATACATACAGGTGAAGCTGAAGCTAAAAAAAAAAGGGTGCTAGAAAAAGAGCCCATATAAACAATTTTCGAAGCTACTTCCCCGTCCAACCCTCCGAATACTACACCCTGAAGACGTTTTTGATACATCGCACAATCTTTCAATGCTGAATCAGAATTTGAGCTGAGAATTCTGAAATTTTGATCAGGAGCGTACCAAACTGGAGGGGATAAAAGTCAAATATTTCATTTTCATACATACATACAGGTGAAGCTAAAAAAAAGGGGGTGCTAAAAAAGGGCCCATATAAACAATTTTCGAAGCCACTTCCCCGTTCAACCCCTCAAATACTGCACCCTGAAGACGTTTTTGATACATCGCACAAACTTTCAATGCTGAATCAGAATTTGAGCTGAGAATTTCAAAATTCTGATCAGGAGCGTACCCAACTGAAGGGGTTAAAAGTAAAAACAATCCCATTTTCTTATGGTATACATTCTCGTTATATTCTGATCTCAGAATATGATATCAGATTTCCATTTCTGATTCGAATGAGGCCTGTACAAAAATTTATTATGGTAATAATAGTAATTCTAAAACACTTACTTGTTCATCACCAAAGTATTGTCCGCTATGAGCACTTGACAGTAGATGAACCTGAAAAAAAAAGTCTATTGAAATAGTAATTAACGTGACAATTTCAGGAAATACTGTTTCTTTGGACGAGTAGAAAAGATTGCAGAATGAGCGTAAGTGAGCTCTGGAAATCTTCAAGATAACATTTTCCGGGTGTGTACACTATTTTTCCGATGAACAACAAAATTAGAAAAGCTCCAAGTAGTGATAGGATTTATAACAGATCAGGAGGGGTGAAAGAACTTATAGTCACAACTCCACCACATAAACAATTTAATAATGAGCAACGGTCATGGACAAAAGTTTCGAAGGAATAATCCTTCATCATCAGCAAATATATAAAAAGAAGAAAATCTGTCAAAAGAAACAACGCCAATAGATTTCGAACACCATCATCATACAGTGTCATTCATAAAGTCGGCATCATATGGGAAAAACTTTTATTAATGTCTCATTTTGGAATTCGAGTTGTACGTTGAGTTTTCCTTAAAAAAAGATGAAAAATGGCCTACTCAATCGGGGTCACGTGACTTTCGCAACATGTCAAAAGTGACATTTTTTCAAATTAATCGCTGAAAGTAGGCTTATTTGTTCGAATATCGAAAAAGTTTACTTGAAAATGTTGTTTCTATTTCAATTTTACACATGCTTCTCGAATTTGATCTTTCTATTGCAACTTTTAGATTTTTCATTTTTTTTTCAACTTTTTCAAAATTTCTGTAATATTTCAAGAATTGTTTATTTCACAAAACTACTTCATGCCAGTAGCTTTTTCATGCTACTCACTTTCAATTACTTATTATCACTGATTATGGACAAAAATATGATTTTCTTCAGAAAATGATAATACCCGCTTCCAAATTCTGTTATGTTTGATGCAAAGTTGATATATCGTCAAGCATTTAGAAACGAAATTCATTCAAACTGATTTTTTCAGTACTGAAAAAATAAATTCAAATGAATTTCGTTCCTAAATGCTTGACTCAAACATAACAGCATTTTGATGTTATGTTTGAGTCAAGCATCAAAACAACATAACAAAATTTTGAAGCGGAGATTATCATTTTCTGAAGAAAATCATCTTTTTGTCGATAATTAGTGATAATTAGTGATTGAAAGTTAGTAGCACGATGAAGCTACTGGTATGAAGTAGTTATATCGAATTTACAATTTTTTTAATATCACAGAAATTTCGAAATTTTTTAAAAAATATCGAAATCTAAAAAATGTAATAGAAAGATAAGATCCGAGTCACATATGTAAAATTGAAATAGAAACAACTTTTTCAAGTAAATTTTTTCGATATTCGAACAAATAAGCCTACTTTCAGCGATTAATTTGAAAAAATTTCACTTTTGACATGTAGCGAAAGTCACGTGACCCCGATTGAGTAGGCCATTTTTCATCTTTTTTGAAGCAAAACTCAACGTACATCTCGAATTCCAAAATGAGACATTAATTAAAGTTTTTCCCATGTGATGCTGACTTTATGAATGACACTGTAGAGGTCCGTAGAGGACCAATAGAATGTCTAGCACGTTTGACGGACTTGGCACTCAATGATCGTTTCCTATGGGGTCATTTAAAATCACTAATTTATAAAACGGAACCTACTGGCCTCGATGATTTGAAGAGAATAATAAGAACTGAATGCCAGTTAAAATCAAGAGAAACATTCTCAAACATACAAGAGGAATTTTCAAATAGACTCTACCACTGTCTGGGAGTCAATGGGGGTCATTTTGAACATTTTTTGTGAACACCTGTTCAATAATCTATCATTTACATTCATTTTCTCACAATTAAAAAACAAACCATTCGAACTCGAATATCTCGTGAACGACTCGTTGGAATTTAAAAAACTTCTCACTGCTAGTTTCAGAATTGAATTACCTTCGCAATGATGTTTAACATGACCCTTATTCCTTATTCAAATTATTGATTATTTATTTTGCGTCAAAAGGTGTCACCCTCCATATAAAAATCGACATAATTCGTAATGTTTTGTAAAATAATAATTCTGGGAGATATCGAGGGTAGATAGATTCAATGATCTCAGACCCATCAGTCTTCTATCAGTACTATCAAAGGTTTTTGAAAAAATTCTATACAAACAGATGAATGAATTCCTTATGAGCCACAATATTATACCACCAATACAATCCGGTTTTAGAGACGGTTACAGTACCACAACAGCACTCACAATGATAGTCGATGATATTTTCCGGGCAGTGGATGAGGGAAAAGTCACGTGCTTAGTTTTACTGGACTACAGCAAGGCATTTGACACTATAGATCACGACGTTTTCCTAGACAAACTGGGGTATTTGGGCTTTGATGAAGATTCTGTTCGGCTGATGGAGCGTTACTTGAAAGGAAGGAGTCAGAAAGTCGTTTATGACCTGAAGACTTCAGAACCTCTAACACTGAAATCTGGTGTACCGCAAGGGTCCATCTTAGGACCCCTGTTATTTTCCATTTATATTTCGGACTTCCACTCATATGTTTCGCATTGTAACATACACCATTACGCAGACGACACACAACTATATCTATCATTTGATGTAGAACAACCTGATAGTACTAATGTTGTGAACTCAGATTTAGAATCCTTGGTGAATATCTCTGCAGCGCATAACCTTACGTTGAACGCAAAGAAGTCAAGTGTTTTGTTTTTTGGACCAAAGCATAAACGTGAGCTTGCCAGTACTTCCTCAAATATCGTCATGGGCGGTAACACAATTCCCATTAGGAACGAGGTAAAAAACTTGGGGTTATGGGTAGACACAGAATTGAGATTCACAAAACATGTCAATCAACTTTGTCGTGGTTCTTACAATATTTTAAAACAGCTTTACCCGAATCGACATGCCATCAATTCTAGTTTGAAACTTCAAGTTTGTGAGTCTCTTATTCTTTCAAAAATTGCTTATTGTGATTGTGTATATGGACCAGCTCTCTTGAAAACCGACAGTGACCGCCTGCAGAAAATTCAGAACTCCTGCTTCAGATTTTCCCATGGAATACGAAAGTATGACCACATTAGCCATAAATTTCTAGAAGCGGGTAAGCTCAGATTATTGGATGTTAGAAAATCACATTTGCTCACTCTTACTCATAAAATATTAAAGATTGGAAAACCTCCGTATTTACTAAAAAAACTTGTAAGAATAGGTGATACCAGCGAATACTGCACTATGAATTCACGATTGCTGACAATCTATAAACATAAGACGTCTACCTTTCAACGTTCCTTTACGTACAATGCCTGTAAATCATATAATCAACTACCCAATGAATTTTATGACTATAGTATTTTGAATTTCAAACAAAAGTTGAAATCATTATTATTATCTACACAAATTGGATCTTGAATGAAATCAATTGACCCCTCTGGCACTCCTATGGTTAATGCAGTGTTTCACTAACGTATCTTAGCTCATTAATGATTATTACTGACATTTTAAATTCTCTTCATTAATTCTCTTATATTGATATCGATATAAACCTATAGTATTATAAACATAGCTAGATAGCTTATCATAGTTTTAGCTAGTATTAATTTAATTCAATATTATATATTATAATGTATTTATAATCAATTAACACATCATGGTTAAGTTGAAAAACACCCTTGGGTGACACTTCGCCATTTCATCTATATCACTTTTTATAATTTTATGGATGAATAAAGACGAGTTATTATTATTATTATTATTATTATAGTCATAAATGGACCACCCGGTATAGGAGTATTTCATATCCGCTAATTCGCTTCGGAATATTTCACTCAATTCAGATATACGCCTGAATTAAAAAACAACATAACATCTGAACTATCAGGAATTTATTCGCCTTTTTCCGATACACGCCCCTTTGTAGATTCACCGACGATTTGTCCAGCTAATTTTTCTAAATAATACCTATTGCATGGTGAAAGCAAAATGACTCGAATAACTTACATCTGTTGATTTAGACAAATTTTTCATCCCCAGCAAATTACTTGAAGACCCTTGCGTTCCACTCCACCGTCTCAAGTCGCTAGGCCCAGAGATATCAATTTTATTTATATTTTTTCGTTTGAACCGATCGACCGTTCGGGTACCCCAACAATTTTCGCTACTCGATACTTTCAACATTTTCAAACGTCCATCTACTTTATCGTGCTTCTTGAAACGTTCATTATTGGGAACTGGCATTCTCAAAAACTCTTCAACCGTCATAGTCATGCCTGGGGATGGAGGAGCACTCTCCACGATTGCTTCCTCGTTTTCCACAAGCTTTTCTTCCGACATCTCACATTTCACTGACGCGTTTTCACTCCCCGATAAATGTACACTTTGATTTTCCAAAGATGAACACGAAACTTCACTGCTTGTATCATCGCTATCATTGTTGAATATGACAGGTTTACTGTCAGTGTCAGCTTCAAAGGCAGTCTCATCAACAGTGCCATAGGTTCCATCTGGCAAGTCTATGTCTGGTGTAGGATTATTGTCATCTTCACTAGTACTGCTAGCAGAGTAATGTAGTTGTGCATGACTTGTATCTTCCTTTATAGCTTGAAATGAGTCTGGCGGTTCATCTGGTCCTATTGATTCTTCAATTATTGCCGTATCCACACTTACAACAGTTTCAACCATACTAATATCACTAGCTTCATCCAATTGCATAGCTTCACTTCCTGGGTCAAGTTCAAACTCTGTTATCTCCGACTCGTCTTTCTCAGTAGTTTCTTCTTCGATTCCAGCGATGCTAAATGAATTGTCGAACATTTTGGAAGTGGTTCTTCTTCCCCACTCTCCTACGATTTTCCTAGGGTACTGGGGTGATGAAATCATATCTTTTGTTAGCTGTATCTTCGATTTGTTGTTCGTACTGCTCTTGCCCAGCAGATTATCCAGACTTGAAGATTTCCTCAAAGTGTATCCTTCCCCTTCTGCTGTATCTTTGTAGTCGTACCAAAGCGATCTGGTATCTAAATTATTCTTCCTGTTCTTTCGTCTGGTTTGTGATGCTAGGGAAGATTTGCTACTTGCCTCCTCGTGTAGATTCTTGGTGCTGTGCCATTTTTTTTGAGTCGCCAAACTACTTTTTGGGTTCGTTTTGACCGAGTTCAAAGGACCGACGTTACCGAAAAAATTCATTTCTGGCTATTTCACTGACATTGTATGTACGATAAACACAGATGATAAACAACTGGAGTAGAGGTACTTTTACTTATCTATATCAAATAATCTTTCTTATCAAGCTGATTAATTGAATTGTAAATGATAAAGCGGCAGTTTCTGGATAAATATGCACTGCGTGACACAATCACTATGAGTCAATGTCTCCTCACACAAGTGTATTTCTGGCTTGATTATGAATTGATTTTTATTTGCTCCACAATATCTTCGTAGGGATTGAAGCATCATTTGTTGAGAGCAGTGTTGTAGAAAAAGAAATTTTATATACAGTGTGTCCCAGCTAAAACTAGTCACCCACTTAACCTCCGATGTCGTTGAAAAAATTGAAAATTGCTCGGACAGGTCGATTTCAATTTGGCGAGGCACACATTATTCTGTAATTATCATATCTCAAAGTTGAAACCTTGAAGCGCATTGGGCATCAATTTTCGATTTCCAAATAGCCTGTGTTGATCTTTAGATTCTCCCTGGAGAGCTGATTTCATCAATGCATCACACTTGGGGTCTAGCAAGGAAGATTACAGAGGTGTTCAAAATCGAGATTTTTCAACTTCAGTTTTTTTTTTTGGTATCGAAACTATTCATTATCGTTCAAAATGGTTTTCTTGTACCTATCCAGAGACCTATCTTAACTAATGCTTTACTATCTACTGTTATGCATTTTGCTTTCGCTCGGCTTCGCTAAACGCTCCGCCTCGCAAATGCAAAATTCGCTTGTCAAACAAAGTGTCACTTTTGATCCTAATGAAACAATCTTCTATTATTCTAGATGACCTAGTACATCCATATTAGTTCCAAGGACCTGAAGTTCAACTTTAACTCCTAGGAACTAAAAGTGTTGCCTAGCAACATATCTATGTTTGTGTCAGTAATAGAAACGTCAATTCAAGAGCTGATTTTGGTATTAAAATGGACGACTTTTGTGTCGGTTGCAGATTGTTTTATTAGGATCAAAAGTGACACTTTGTTTGACAAGCGAATTTTGCATTTGCGAGGCGGAGCGTTTAGCGAAGCCGAGCGAAAGCAAAATTTGCGAGTCGAACAAAATCACTTTTGATCCGAATGAAACATGCTATTTTTTCTGCAACCGAAACAATTAACTCAAATGAACATGTGAAGTAACCACCAATGCCGTGAGAATTTTCTACCTGCATTAACAGCAGGTTAGGTTTTCTAGGCTGTTCGAATTGTAGTTTCAATATAAATACAACCATGCACAGAGTGACATATTTGTGTATGAACCAGGTGCTCTACTGGCAAATACCGCGCCAGTGCCAGCTATAGGAACAAGACGTGGAAAATGTTAGGTTAGTGAGCATATCAACAATGATAATAGTGATTATTTATTCCTCTCCATACTACACTGTGTTTGACTTGATAATCAAATGAAGCTAAACAACATCGTTGTTTGAGACAAAAAACCGATTGCTTGCCGTGATTATTCAAAAACAAGTTATCCATCCCGAGAATAATAACGAATGAAATACAGATCAAGCAAGTATTTGAATCTTGAAGGCTTCCCTGATCAAAACAAAAATACTCAACTGAGATGTTTATAATTCCAATACCAAACTATTATAATAAGGTGTATTTATATCTCCAGCATGGGTATGAAATGCCAAATCTGCTGAAATAGGAAACAAATCAGGTATGCGTCTCAGCCCAAATAACCAACCGTCACAATGTTGTTCATTCTCGATGGCGTCCTTTTTAGTTCCTAGGAGCTAAAGTTCAACTTTAGCTCCTAGGAACTAAAATTCAACTTTAGCTCCTAGGAACTAAATATGTTGCCTAGCAACATACCTATTTTTGTGTCAGTAATAGAAACGTCAATTTAAGATCTAATTTTGGTATCAAAATGGACGACTTTTGTGTCGGTTGCAGAAAAAATGTATTTACCGAGGTATTTACCTAATAACCATCACATTTTAATTTCCTTCAATGGAAAACTCGGAAAACAATTATGGAATTCATTATCAATTTCAATGAGGGTCCATGAGGATGGTTGCACGAGGGCCCCTTTTTTATTTCCTCTCCTTCAATGTCACTATAAATTGGCTCATAATTTGTTTCATGAATTAAATTGGTCTGTCTGTATTAGGAAGGGAGACCAGAATAATATTTTATAACACATACAAACGTATACCTAATACTATACAGGGTGTCCCAGAATTTCTTTCATCTCGGTTATTTCAAAAGACAAAAAGATGAAGAAATTATACACAAGTTATTTTTAACCTCCAGGATATTTTCATCCCCAACTTTTTTTTTTAATTGATTTCAATTAGCCAATTACGTTTTTCCTGTAGAATGTGCGTTCGCAAAATATTTACTACTTACTATTCACCATTTGTTTTATCCTTTATACAGTGAACCTGTTAATTATCTTATCCTTTTAGAAGTCAATCAAACCTTTATCTGGGAGGATTGAAGAATAGTATCACTTATTACCTGTTTAAGGTGGATTTATATTCATACTGCTTTTTCATTAATCTGTTGCTTTCATTCACCGTCATTGAATTCATTTTTATTCAAGGACTTTGATGCCTTTATGCACTACCTTTTTCTAATTTTAAACTCTTCCTCATGATCCAAGCATTGTCCTCAGCGTACTTAGATGAAAATATTGGTGTTCTTACCTCCACTGCTCAAATTATTAAAATGAGACTAATTTGTTCATATTGTTTCCGAAGTCTAATTTGAACATGCAACTAGAATTTTGTGGATTTTCAGCCATATTTTGAAAAAATAAGAAGAAGAAATTGTATGTCTGACTTCTGGAAGAATAGCGCCTGCGCAAGTCACACTTTAATGAAAGATAAAAATTATTTATGGTGCATTAATAATTGAATGGAAATGCCAAGTTTAAACTCATTAGTGAAATCGTTAATGATTGTGAAATTAAAAAGCGGCGTCCATAAATCCGCCTTTACCTACCCTGCCGTGCTAAGCGCAGAAGCGGTAACTGACATTTTCGAGGAAATTGGGATATTTGCTCCACGTAAATGTATGACTCGAAATCTGTCTAAAACTAGAGTTTCATAGCGGTAAATACCTTTTTTCTATTTTTATTTTGAATTTTAAATAGCGGTATCTACCAACTTTCAAATATTGTTAAAAATTCACTACGGTGTTAGGCGGTAATTATCATTTGCTTGGGCATTGCAGGGGTAATTACTGCACATACCGCTCAAATATATTAGCGTTTGTCAAATACGCCCTACATACTCAAGTTTTAATGCATTTTCCGAGCAAACGGCTCAGTAACATCAAGGTGGTTGAAGGATGAACATCGCTGAAGTGTTTGTCGCATTTCATCAATAACTGTGTTAGTAGTTATTGATGAAATGCGTATATTGATTGAAAAGGTCATTGTTTCGTAACATTTGAAAAAAGGTAATTATAGACTGAAACTCATCTTCTTTGTTGTCAAACTATATTATTTCACAGAAAAATGACTTCCGATCGAAGCAAAAGAATTTTAGAACGTGCTAAACTTGTGTATGAAGAATCCACGAAGCACTATTATTGCAATCAAGACAAATAATAGTAATAATAGGCTCAGAATCCAATTTCAGTAGGAGTTTTAGAGTCAACTACTACTAATGTAAAAACTTCACAAACGATGAGATTTTCACTATGTTCCGCTAAACAGAAGCTTCGTCAGGTGAAAAACTAGTACAATGATAAAAACCAACCTGAAGGATTGGAATTAACTGTGAAAAGGTTCGATAAACCTTCATTTTCGGAAAATAGGCACAATATCTACATCAGAATACGGTGTAACGGATTGACTTGAAAGGGTTGATAGCAAATACATGTTATTACCTACTAAGAAAACAAATTCAACAGTGGTGAACTAGGTCTAGTTGATCGTTAAGTGAAATGTTAGAATTTTCAAGTTTGTTGATTTCTAATCATTCACAATGATTGAGTTTTATTCCTTTTTTATTTAATTCCCATATTATTTATTAATGAAGGAAATTGAGAAAAATTGTAGATACGTCGAAATACCTTAGCAATAAAGCTGGAAAAGAAGCCGTATCTACATTCCAGAATGCGATGGATTCGTGGAGAATTTCTGACATTCAACAAATCACAATGATAACATAATGTCCATATTTAACAGTTACCAAAATTCAAACTCACACTTTGAAAAATAAGGTTGGCAGGACGAATACTCTTGAATATCAATTATCTCAGAATGCCATCGGTGTCAGTTACCGCATCTGCGCTTAGCACGGCAGTACCTATCTAGAAGAACTTGAACTTTTGTTTTCAAAAGCAAGAATATATCCTCAATCAGATAAAAAACTCCAGCATTCATTTCCGGAAATGAAGGACATCCGAGGACATCAGTTTGAACAATAATGGGCGTGTACACCTTGATAGAACTTTTAACTCAAACCATGTTTATAATGATCCTTTTATACATAAATAATGATTGACGACCTAATTCGATCCAAAAATTAACTGGAATGTTTTATTTTTAGATATAAATAATAGTGCCTTCTGAAAACGGACCCTCTTATGACGTAGAAACCTCATCTCGCCATAGTTAAAAGATAATACCAAACGCCCGACGGAGACTGAGGCAACTGATATGTTAATTCTATCAACTGTGATCTCGTGCTAATTCACTCTGTCAGAAATCATGATGTATCATTCATCTCTGTCTGAAGTCTGGAATAGTCTTGTTTCAGTATTTGGGTTTTGACGTCACATCATCGCCTCGTTTTCAGAGGTCCGCAAAATCAGAGATTTCAATAATTTTTTATAAAACATAGGGAGCTCACAGCAAGAAACGGTTTGCGGTGGTGAGCTAGTTTGGGTGAGTTCTATCGAATTATGAAACGAAATTTTTTTGTGATATAAGCCCATTGCTCGAATAATTAGACAACTTGTTCTTGTTTTGAACACAGAACTCATAAACTTCATATCTTTTACGACTAGAATGCGTATCCAATATCCAAGATGATCTTTGAGTTCTGTGTGATTAACTCACAAAAAAATGTGGGATTACTCACAATAACTCATAACTATCAAAATATCAATATCAATGCAGATTTTTAATAAATGAATGATACAGAATGAAAGAAGATTGAAAAAAAAATTATAATACACTTTTGCCTTTTCCTGCCACCATCTGTCAATAAAATAAGAAATGAGACCGGTTTTGACAGATGGCAGATCGCGAGGACCTTGAGACTGGAAATAATTCTGTGATCTGTGGTAATCTGTGGTCCAATGCACAGCACATGTATACTGTCACCTGTCACTGTCACCTTCTCCTTCTATTTTTTTCATCTTTTCATCAAGGTTGAAGGTTCAGTGGCGGCGTGTACATTTTCGAATGAATGAGAAATGATTAGGTTTGTTCGTTAGTGTTGCTCAATCTGCTATTGTTGATTTATTTTCCATGGTTATTTCTGTTAATCGAACTACATACTCAAATTTAGCAGGCTGAGCCAACACAGACGAACAAGGCTAATGAAATAAGAAATTACTGTATGTAAAGCGTGGATTTCAGGTCATCAATGATCACCTATAAATCGCTTTCGAGCTTTGGCTCTCATCAGTACAGGGGTGTCCCTAGATGGCAATCATGACCGCAATCTGGTGCGAACCTGACCCAACGTGAACACCTCTCAGCATTTAAAACCCACGAGGCTTTCGGCCACTGCGAACTGTACACGAACGGACGAACGCTATCAAGGGTAAAAAGAAAGAAACACTCCAAAACCAATTCCCATTTTAGATGAAATGGAAGTGGCTGACTGCCCGACTGGCGTGATTTCAACTCCGAAACAGCCAAAATGCGGAAACCTTTGACCTCGTGGGTATTAAATGCTGAGAGGTGTTTACGTTGGGTCAGGTTCACACCAGATGAATGTCATCTGGGGACACCCCTGCACTGATGGGAGCCAAAGCTAGAAACCGGTATGTACATAGGTAGTTAAGCGTTCCTGAACAATTTAAGCACACAATTTAGCATTTCGGAAAGAAACACAATTTCGGAAGGATTCAATGTTCTTCGTGATATATAGCCAGGAAAGTCGTTGTTTTTCTCTTGTTATCTACCTGTTTCTTTCATTTATGAATATTTGTGGAAATGACTTTGAACATTGCATATTTATGTATTTATCATTTTTCTGTAGAACTTGTGAAATGATGCAACATCGAAAACAAAACAGTGGCGTGCACTTCTTTTCAATGGAAATATATAAACGGCAACCTCTCCTGTGACGCCACTGGAATATGCAAGGCTGATACGATGTGTTCCAGTAACACAAACAACTCTACCAAGTTGAAAAAATTCAATTTGAATTTTCGAGATATTGAAGTTGAAGATAAGATAATAATTTTTTGAATCTTGAACGCCCTGTATAGCGGAAACTAAGTGATTCCGAGCATATGTTAATGCCCCATTGAAGTTAGGCAGAAACAAACTGAAACACCCAGTATATAGAAGAATTTATGGAAAATACTAATTACTTCATTCCAATGTGATATTCGAATTCGAATGTCTATGATTTCGAACATTTGTTTCAACAATGTTGACGCTTCTGGGAATTTGTCTGAAATATTCATAAAAAATGGTATGTTAGGGAAATTCGAGCTGAAATGAATGTTGTATTTCTAGTTATTCTGATTGTTTGTACACTTTATCTATCTAAAATGATGTTCTATAAGTAACTGAGAGATATGATTATCTGCTCTTCAAGTATGCAACCGAGTATGCAACCTTGTATACAGCCTACATCACAATTTCCTTACAGAATTCCACAAATTGTATAGGTAAACGACATTTCACATTTTCTAATTTATATTGGTTGATACGAGGGTTGATATCTATGCAGGGTGTTTCTAATAATAATTGTGTAATCAGGAAAATTTAATAAGTGATAGAACTCATGAAATTGATAAGGAAAGTTCATGTTGAAGTGAATTTTGGAGTTTGAAGTGTTTTGAAAACAAAAATAGTTTGTTAGGTAGCACACAGCTCAAAAACTTCTCAGTTACTGAAACTATAAATTAGAGAATTGTATTCACCAGGCAAAAATCCAGGTAATTCTTGGTTGAGACTGTTGAGAGGTTAAATCAGACATTAATGAAACACTATATTTCCCAGGGGTGTCCAATCCCTATACAATCCGTCCAATCCAAGTCCAATCTTGGCCCAATATTCTCAATCCCTCAATGCTAATGTCCAATCTCAGTTTTATAATATTACATAATATGTCCAATCTGAGGTCCAATCTGTCCAATCCATGAACGTTTTTGGGAGAGTCAATTACCCCTCATACCATAATTATAGAAGTCAATTGTAAATTATTGGTTGACATCAATTGAAATAAAGTATGGATCAAATCATCATTAAAATGGTCTAATAGGCTAAATATGAAAGTGAAAGTGGTAGGACAATATAATTGCAAGAATCTCAATATTTCTTACAAGGTAAGTAGTCAAACCTGGACATAAAAACCAAAAATAATCAACCAGGTTGCAGAGACACCTCTGCTAGGTGGTTACATAATTTTTATACCATTCTCCCCTACCCGAGCCCCTACCCTACTCATTTCCCAAAAAATATATAATATTGAAATATTGAAATACTTTTATAAAAATCTCCACTAATAGGTATACTTTTTAGGGTACTGAATCAACCTAATAAAAAATGTATCAAATTGATATACTTCTTGATCTATTCTAGATTGAATATTTGATTTCTGCATGTGGATCAACAAAACAATGATTATGAAGCCTCTCAAAAGTCAAAAATCTTCAATATAAAATTATCAAATGTATATACAGAGGTATATTCATACTAAATTATTTGGAACCTAATAAAAACCTTTAAAGAAGAGAGTTATTAGATATAGATTTACTATATAAATTTGAATTATTATCGAGATTATTATATACTCATTCAGGTCACTACAACCAAACCATACAACTAGACCAGCAGATTTTCAGTCAAGAAAATTTAATCAGATATTGGTAAAAAATCCATGTATCACAATGGAATGACTACCAAATAACTTGAAGCTGATTAATAGGATTGAAAAATTTAAAAAGGAATTCAAGAAACATCTACTCCTGTAACATTGACATCTTATCTCATTTTTATTTTCTCATACAATTACTAGATTTCCATTGGGTACCTACCTAACAGGTGAGTCAATTAAGAATGATTTCCAGTTGAACATGAAAAAAAAAGATTTCTTCTTGAGTCTGAGTCTTATTTTACTGTCTCATATATTTTCTCAAATATATCAATATATGTTCCCTGCTATAAACAAATGTTGTTTCTTGGGAATCATAAAGTTGATTGATATATTAAATGAACTACCCACAAAAATCAATAATATTCCAGAATAAAAGCACCTACCAAGCACATTGGTTATGATTCCAATTATACACTTGGTTTATACAGCTTTATAAAACAAAAATCCTTGCAAAAAACAATTGGATCTGAACAGGAAACTGTTGAGGAAACTGAACATAATTCAGCAGGTTCATTTGATAGACTTACCCTCCTATGTTTATCCAACAGATGGGGAAATGATACAGATTTCCTTGGATGTTCCTTAGCAAGCTTTTTTTCCATATACTTCGGATGCAATGAGGAGTACCTTTCCAGATATTCAGTAGACTTGGATTTCCCATCTCCTACTTTAGCTTGCTGCTCCTTGAAAAGATCATTGTTTTTTAATTCATGGATCAGGCTAGTGGATATAGAAGTTCGCCTGGACAAAGGTGACATCAACTTATCCAATGGTATTCTTGACTGGGAGCTGGACTCCATATATCTTTTATCAGCTGATGATTCATAATAAGCATGTTTGTTCCAAGTGCTGCTACTGGCTAAAATGATGTTGTCTTCATCTTTCTTCTTGTTTTTTACATGGAAACTAATGGCGCGGTGTTGGGGCATTGTAGCTGCACATAATAATATGAATTTATTTTTGTATTTGACACCTCAAACAGTCTTTACACTTCATATTATGATGATGAATCACATCAACAGAATATATTTTCAGTTTTCTTATCACATCTTATCACCAATTCAATGTTTCGATGGAATAATTTTGTATCATAATCGCATCTTTCAAATAATTCATAGTTTTTATTACTAATTGAGCAGAAAATGTAAACAAACAAATAAACTTCAATGTCATTCCTTACATCGTTATCAAAGAACATCTATCAAATGACACAGAACAATGAACGCTGAACGCGAACTTTATGATACATGGATACGTCGCACGAATCCGTTTTGCCCAGACATATGCATGGCCGATTTCTATAGACCAATCAGAACAATCCAAGAAACGTCTAGGGTGTAACCCACTGAACTATAACCCAACCACAATGTGGCAACATGTAACAAATTAACAAATAATCCATGTGCAAGTAACTGCTTTTGTTGAATTCTTTCTTGAAAAGGAATATTCTCAGAATCGTGATTGAATTTTCTTCAGAATTCAATCAACGACTAGATTTTAAACATTTGTTGTTTTTTAGGTTATATTGAGGTCATTGGCGTATCATACGTAATTTCCATATGGAATTTCTGATTCAAGTATACACTATTCCAAGATATAGTTGAATCTCCTCCAGAATTTGCAAGTAAACTTGCCGAGGTTCTTCTGAAACTATGCCCGGTTGCAATTAAACATTCTGGTATAGGATTCGGCACCTGCTTAAATTCTATTGGCCGATTTTGATTTATCTGACCAATTGAAAGCGGAGTGCCGAAATTCGTACCACAATGTTGAGCGGTGCTGAAATACAGGTCGGAATGTTGACGAAATGAAAGCTCGAGATAATGTTGTAATGAACGCATTTTTCAATAACTTTAGAAATTTATATTCATGATGATTATTTGGTATAAAAGTCTAAAATGAATGATTATATGTAATTAAATGAAATAATAAATTCGAAATAATAATCATTAGAACACTTAATGTATGTTTTAATGTCCTATTCCATTGGACTTAGCGTTTGGTTGATTTCTCGCCACGTTACCTGCCAAACTGCGTCTTCGTCTTCTTCGAATACATTTCATGAGCAAATAAAAAAATATTTAAAAAACATAAAATTGTTACCTGTACAAGAATCTTTTAATATTTGTAGGGCCTGATTCGAAACGCCATAATGTAAACGATTGAGCTTCATAATCATTCATCCATTGCACAAATTCTGTTTCATTCTCCATATTGCCCCTATACAAATTTTCTGAAACTTTTATTAATCTTTCCATAAATATTAGTGATTTATGGTATACTTCACTGATTGATGATTGCACTTAACTATAATAACAATATTGCAGGTTTGTTGTTAGCATGTGGGAACGACAGTATATAATCAAAAAATGCGCAGGTTAGGTGAATGCGAGGGTAAATGTAAACAAAAAAGGCGCAAAATGCAGGGCAACATTCCGACCTGCTTTTCAGCTCCGCTCAACATTCTGGTACGGATTTCGGCACTCCGCCTTTAATTGGTCAGACAAATCAAAATCCGCCAATAGAATTTAAGCAGGTGCCGAATCCTATACCGGAATGTTTAAATGCCTCCGGGTTCAATTCATGACATCAGCATTCTTGAGAATTCTGCAATTTTATGACCGATGACTGATGATGACCGATGACCGATGACCGATGACCGATGACCGATGACCGATGACCGATGACCGATAACCGATGACCGATGACCGATGACCGATGACCGATGACCGATGACCGATGACCGATGACCGATGACCGATGACCGATGACCGATGACCGATGACCGATGACCGATGACCGATGACCTATGACCGATGACCTATGACCGATGACCGATGACCGATGACCGATGACCGATGACCGATGACCGATGACCGATGACCGATGACCTATGACCGATGACCTATGACCGATGACCTATGACCGATGACCTATGACCGATGACCTATGACCGATGACCTATGACCGATGACCTATGACCGATGACCTATGACCGATGACCTATGACCGATGACAGATGCCAGTTGATGACCGGTGACAGATGACCAATGACGTGTGACAGTTGACGTATGAGTTGGATGAAAAATGAATACATATACAGTGTATGTTCGTATGAACTGGATGGTTTTCTCCGATTGAGTGGCGAGAACACGAATTTCTGGAAAAAATACCATGGCCTTTAGTATGACGATAAAAGTCTCAGGTATTTATTTCAGATTTTTATTCGAAGTAGTTTTTCCACAAAAAATTTGCAAAGTATTGATCCCGTTCAAACGAGCTGGAATATCGCGCGTTAATGTGACGTGACAAGTATTAGACGGTGATCCGGCAACGTCGCTTGATATCTTCTGGACTGTTGACTGTGTGGACAGTTGACAATTCGTTCATCTGTCACTACTGTCAGTTGTTCTTTTATTTTATTGTTTATTTATTTTTGTCGGCCAATATTATTTTTATTCGTGCCATCGAATTATTTATTTTTTCTCATCAACGTTTATTCACATTCCTGGGATGGCAGTGGCTGTAAGGAAATGCCACAAACTTGGTTCCATCCTGCTTAATCAACACTGAACAAAGTATATGGATAAACCATACCTGGAATCAAATGATATATTTTGCTGTGAGATGGCTGTGAGGATCGTTTTGATGTGAGTAGAATTTTTTCTTCAATATGGATTGATCATACTCATTTTGTTCTAGCTTGAATATGACATGTTCAACTGGGTGGAATTGAAACTCATTGGATCTAGAGTTTATATGCCTGAAGATGTGATTCCATATTCATTAAACATCCAAAACTGAGAAAACACCCATCAAAATCCTAACTTTCATCTTCAGCACGGAAAAGGAGATCTCAATAATCCCTTGAGAATTTGGGAGATGAGATAAAATGGAACTTTCCTCAAATCATATTGACTCTCCTTGAGGAAAATTCTTGGAATTACCAGTGAGTGTTTCAGTTGAAGAAAGTTTTCTTGAAGAACCTGAAAAGTAACCTGTCATGGAAGAGACTGACATCAAATACTATGAACCAGAACCAAATTGACAGTCCCATAACATATTGTGATAAAATGACTCAGGACTGTTGCTGATTGATATACAAATATGTTTGTGAATTTTGCCATCATGATTAAGTTTATTTGTTTTCTTGAAAACTTTGTGATGATCTGGACAAGATATTGATATAATATTTCCATGTTCTACATCTATATTCATTCTAGAAATGAAATATATCTATAAATATTTAACTGTTCTAATTATATCTACTCCATAAAGTGGACAATAAATGAAAATTTCAACCAACATTCTTGAGCATTCTTGCTTCATTTTGAAGATGGGGGCATTTGATAATTTTTGTGTACTACCTATTCCTTTACATTTTTGACAAATTTTCCCTACATGAAATAGTGATAATACCTATCTAGTAATATTGGCTTGTATGATTTTGTTTTTTGCATTGAGAATTGATGTTGCATCTTCCATCATTTCTAGATATACCAGTGCTCTCTTGGTTTATACTTACTGGATTTTTTTTTACTACTTTCATTACTTTTTTGGTGTTATGATAGGTATTGGTCTTTCTTACCGATATTCCACTGACAATAAAATATGAATGAACTAGGTTGTTCGACAAGAAGTAAACATAAATTTCATATACCTACCATCTCCAGTTTGTGAAGATATAGTGTATGATCAATATGAGAAGGGATTTAGACGTTGTGTATGATGAAATATGTTATTTATAAGACACTGGTGAGCTCTAAATAAGTCCAATTTTGAAATAAGATAAGAAAAAAAGTACTGTAGTACTGATATTTTATAATTTTATTAAATGGGTGGAATTAACAGTTTGCCACAAATTTTCAGCATCTTTTATAATTTTCTAAAGGAATATAGGGTCATATCACACTTCAAGTAACTGAAAACTACCATTATTCTCAAAATTCTCCTGCTCATCTAATGTACCTTCGAATGTCTTGCACTTTGTGCCTCATAGCTTTGAAGCAGTAATTCTTCCATAGCAAACTTCAAACCATGCTGATAAATGATGATTCGTTTTGATTCACTTTTATATCTTGCACCAATTCACAATCACTGTCACTGATATTCTGATGAATGAAGTCTTGGAATCCCCTAGGAGACAAATTGGATGAATGTTTTCTGGACAAAATAATTAGCTTATGAATCAGAATCAAACTCTTTCAAAAACAGTTATCCTTGGCATCCATGTTTTCCATCTACTTGAAAAACTACTTCAAGAAATTTTGATGGAACCACTGGGAGGGTAGGAACTTGTTTTGGTGCTAATTCTACAAGTGGCATGAATGTTGATAGGAAGCTCAAAAATTTGGTAGTTTGGACCGAGGTTTGGACACTGAGTTGGACACTTTTCAGTAACACTCCATAGAAGGTACAGAGGGTTCTTCTGATCTTCCATGTAACCATAATAAGAAGGCCACACTGTGTTTACATCTACCTAAGGATATAAAAGAATACCGTTTATAAAAAAGTCAAGAATTTATGTACCTTTTACCTTTTGAAACTACACAATCCAGACTACAGTTTCTTCAGCTTCATGAACCTCAGCCTCAACCCTTTATGGTTTAGGACGAACTTTATGTTCTGGACTAATCTTCACCTTTATGAAACAGCTCATGCCAGTTATTTGAACTTGCAGAATTCAAAAACCATAGTTGAATCAACTACTGGAAGATTGTGATTGCTTTTTCAAATACTGGCTTCATATTTCCAATCAATAAACATGAACCATCAGACTATGTCACAATAATAGTCACAATGATTTGAATATTTTGATTATACAAGAAAATATCAAGCAAATGAAGAATCAAAGAAAAACTCTGATGTTTTGATGTTTAGGAGTTCGGTTTCTTAGGTTAGGAAATATGTTAGAATATTTTGAAGGTAC